ACACATTTTTCCCTTTAGCAAAGCAGATACACATAACAAAGGTAAGGTTTGGTAAACAGTAAAGGACTATTAGAAAAATTGCTCTTAGCTGTTCAGCCAGCCTTTTGATGACTTTTCTCATTTATTATGATCTGCTGCTGGACTTAGCCTCCAGCAATGAATATTTAAGAACGATGAGGTTCTTTTAAAACATGGCTGTTATTGTAAACTGTAAATGCAGCAACAATCATGATGCATAATCTTCACAAGCCCTAACATTGCTCCGATTATTGAGCTCTCATGCCCTTTGTCTGCAATAAATTCCTGAATTTCTTATAAGCACTTTCCTTGCACTGACTTCCCCATAGAGCAAATAGCTCCATGGAGTGTTGCTTCAAAGCAAGAGCACACTCACTGTATGTCATAGATCTGGTTCTCTTTGGGTCACTGAGTTTTACAAACTGTGTCAACCTGGGTAAGTTATAGAATGTGTTTGAGTGTCAGTTTACTTATTTGAAAAGTGAGGTTAATGATACATGCCTATCTAATAAAACCATTGGAATGATAAATGAGAAATACATGTAGTCTTACCTTTACTACACCATCAATAATCATCTAAATATTATTTCCATGCTTTAATAAAGGGACTCATAAACTTAGATATGTTATACAAATATAAAACAATATAACTTATTCAGATTAATCTCATGAACTTCTTGTGGCTAGGCAGATTACCATGTAGTTACATCCATCTTAAATTGCCAAGGTGGGAATCTTTTATTTCATGAACTATATGACACTTCTGGCAAGATAACGAGATTTATAGTCAAACGGGTAGTGGTCTTATCTTTTTATTATAACTGAAGGCAGGTTATTTTCAAATTTTAGGTTGGGGAGTTGCCAGGCATTTCATAGATTATCATAAATTAGGTAGCTGTGTACAGGAATCTGTTTCTGTATTAGGTTATGTCAATGTTGGTTAATTTATCTATACTTAAGCCACTAATACTGTCTCCTTTACTATAGCATTGTAATAAGTCTTGACTTCTGGTAGTATAAGTCATCCAGCTTTGTTCATTTTAAATATTTCATCAATGTTGAATTAAGCTTCTAGAAGAAAATAACTTCATGATTCATAACTTTGGGATAAATAGAATTTCTTAAATGGGATGAGCATACACACACACACATACACACATAACAAAAGCATTAACCATAAAGAAAGATTAAAGTGGACACTTTTAAATTAAGAGCTTATGTTTAATAAAGTATAGAATTAAGAGAGTTCAAAAAGTAAGCCACAGACTAAGAAAAGATATTTATAATATGTACATGGACAAATGCTTCATATCAAGAACATATGGAGAATTCCTACAAATCAATAAGATACAATTAACCTAATTACAACAGTGGGCAAAAGATTTGACAGATATTTCACCAAAAATGGTAACCAAACGGCTGATAAAGATATAGAAATGTGTGCAATATCATTAGTCATCATTATACAAATACAAATTAAAAGCTGTGATATATGCCATTACACAAACATAATGGACAAAATATAAAATAAAATTTAAGAATAAGAATACAAAATATGGGTGAAGTTATGAAGATGGGAAAAATATATATAATTTTTTTATAAATCATTTAGGAAAAGATTTGATGGTGCCTACTGAAGGAAAACATTTGTACACCATATGACTCAATGATTCTACCCTTGAATAAATATTCAAAAAAAGTAAAAAAGATAATATGTACAAAAGACATATGCATAAAATTTTCATAGATGTTTTATTTACAACTAGAGACTGGGTACACAAAATTTATGCAAGGGAGGAGGGAAGAATCCCTCAGCTTGGGCTGCACCCTCTTGTAATTCAGGACCCCTTGGGGGATATCCAACTGCCAGCTCAGGGTTAAAACCGGCAGTTGGACATCCCATTTGCAATCCAGACTGCTGGCTCCTAACTGCTGGCCTGCCTTCCTACCAATCACCCCTAACCCTTCTGCCTGCCTGACTGAGTGTCCCTAACCACTCACCTGCCTGCCTGATCACCCCTAACCACACACCTGCCTGCCTGATCACCCTTAACTGCCTCTGCCTTGGGCCCCACTGCTGCGGCTTTGTCCAGAATGAGGTCCAGAAGGTCATTCGGCTGTCCAGTCTAATTAGCATATTATGCTTTTATTATTATAGATGTTCACAAATAGAAAGGGTAAGTAAATTATATTGGTAACATGCAGTAGAATACTACCTAATTATTAACATAAACTTCACAGGCACCATGGATGGATATCAAACAAAAGAGATTATTAATTCAAAAATATACTTTTTATTTATATGAAGTTTCAAAACTGATAAAACTAACCCATTATTATAGAAATCAAAATGGTTTTTACTCTGGAGAGTTACTGAATGGAAGGGGAAACCAGTAATTTTCTTGGCTGCTGAAACTGTTACATATATTGTTTTTGGTGGTTGTTACATGGGAGTGTACATATTTACAAAGTTATCAATCTGTATACTTAATACTTCTGTACTTTACTAAATGTAAGTTCTACCTTAGTAATTTTTTAATCGACAAAATTACTGAGGCAAAGAAGATAAAAATATTGACACTATATTTCTTGTACTGTCTATTCTTATGAAGTCTTTGGCTAAGACAAGGTAGAGACTATTCTTGCAGTAAGTACTTTCAAAAACAATGTGGTATAATCCTTTAATCTGTCAGAATGCCTATCTAGGGACATGCCAGAGGGCAGAACACAGTGCTCCTCAATTTTTTTTCTCATTTTTGATCTTTCCTTCAACTAATTATAGCTTGCAAATATTGAAGTTCTGTTTGTATATTAATGAAAATACATCCTGAAACATCCATATAAGAAAATAAATTTAAATCCTATGTCAAGTGTCTAGTATTATTATCTGAGAATATTTTTAAGAGTTTGACTTAAAATTGCCTATTGGGTGTAAAATAAGTGTAAGTAAATGCTAAAGCCAATGAGGTGATGATACCTCTGCTGCCTCTGAAATACTTCTGTTCAGAAAAGCTGTCTTTGGCCCTGGGCAGAAACTCAGCTGGTTAGAGCATCATCCTGCTATGCCAAGGTTATGGGTTCCATCTCCAGTCAAAGGGCAGCCTACAGATGCATAGATAAGTGGAACAGCAGGCTGAAATCTCTCTCTCTCTCTCTCTCTCTCTCTCTCTCTCTCTCTCTCTCTCTTTCTCTCACTCAAATCAATAAATAACAACTTTAAAAAGAAGAGCTGCCTTTATCTCAGTACAAGCACCTATAATGTCTAGGTTAAAATGACCTACTTAGGTCCTGGATTTGCAGACCTCCAGGCAATGGGGAACAATTTGGACTTTTCTGGAGGCCTGGCCCAAATCCTGTCTTTATTCTCTAGAGAATAAGTTGCTGTCTGGGTCCCTAGAGTATCAATCTTGGACCCACTTGCTTCTCCATCCCCATAAGATCTCTAAGTCTACACCTTTATTACTTCTGCAGGATTGCTTTTTGCCTAAATCTCTGCCTGTTCCTTGCCATTTTTTTCATCCCTCAGACCCCACCTTTTGACTCTATGTCTGAGAACTGTCTGAGAGTCCAAGATCTGCACTTTCATACTTGTTCTGAGTCAATGACCATAGCTTCATAATGACCGGCTTTCAATCCTCATTCTAAAATGTTTACCGTACTCCTGATGCTCAAGTATTAACCATTATTTTCATGTTTGAAATGTACTACTAATGCCCAAGTATTAACCTTTACCTTCATGTTTTTACTCAGTTGCTCCAGGTAGATATTTGAATTTTACATAAACAATGTATTCATAACATTGCTTACGGAGAAAAACATTAACAGCCTAAAATCAAACTTTAGCCAATATTTTATTAAGTAAATAACATTAAATCAAAATAATGTTCATAATGAATCATGATATAAATTCTGGGGGGAAATAATATTTTGTAAAAATTAGGTGTTTTATATAAATCTAAGCACAAAAATTTGTCCATAAGGGAAGAAAAAAAAAGACTTAAAAGACAAAATCTTTAAATTGCCAATACCTCCAGTGGGTTAATTGATGTGAAATAAATATTTTTAGTATATCTTAAACCCTTATAACAGCTTTTTCAGATATAATTAAGGTGCACGTTAGTGTATACCATAAAACATCATAACAAAAAGAGCATGCATACCATCCCCAAAAACCTTCCCTCAGAAAATGCAACAATAGATATTAAGGACAGCCTCATTAGGGAGCCTAACATAAATAATAACATCGTATGAATATAGAAATGTGTGTGTAAGTAAGTACATATATATGTGTACATATATATGTGTGTGTGTATGTATATGTGTATATATATATGTGTGTGTGTGTGTGTGTGTGTGTATATATATATATATATATATATATATATATATTAGCCCATTGTACGATATTGCCCACAGTAGGCCACCTGAAGCTTCCATGGGAGCGGGCAGGAACCACAGTGCAGTGCCAGGATCAGTGCTGCTTCCACGGGAGGTGTGAGGGAGACACACCACTTCCAAAGGAGCCCACAGGGGCCACCATTGATTCCATGAGAGGCAGCAGGGACCCACACTGTTTCTGCAGGAGAAGGACTCGCCTTCTGCTCTCTGGGCCTGTGCTTGGGCTGGCCCCACTGTCTCTGTCCATGTCTGCTCTGGTTCCGGGGGACTGACATGAACCAGGCGTGGTGACAAAGCAAGCATTCCACCAGGCTGCTCACGCTGCCTGCTCAAAGCAGCCACCACCCCTGGACTGGAGGACTGTGCTAGGCTGAGAGGACAGGGCGTTGCCATCTTGTGGCTATGGGCACCACCATCTTTGTGACAGAGTGATGATTAATTTACATATTACTCTTTTATTAGATAGGATATATATGTATAATGGCTATAAATGAAGGTGGTTTAAAAAAAAAGTCTAATTACAAAACTTTATCTCAGAAGTTGACAGTAATCTAAATTATGTTACTTTTCTTTCCAGTATAAAAATGAAACACTTCTTGTTTGTGGCGGCTGCAGCTGGCTTTCTGCCTGGTTTGATTATAGGAACACCTGAGGTTTGTATATTTCATAATTATTTTCTAGAAGAAATAGAGCTAATCCTATAGTATACTCACTTTGTTACAGGCACTATGTGAGGATGTTATGTCTACTATTCACCTTGTTCTCACCATAGTCCTATTAGGCAAGTACTATTCTTTTATTTTGTTTTGTTAATCCTTACCCCAAGATATGTTTTTTCCATTGCTTTTAAGAGAGAGTGGAAGGAGGAGAGAGAGACAGAGAGAAATATCAATGTGTGAGAGACATAGATTGGTTGCCTTCTGCAGGTGCCCTAACCAGGGCCTGGGGTTGAATCCGCAACCCAGGTATGTACCCTTGACCAGGAATTGAACCTGAGATCCTACAGTGCACAGGCCCAGGCTCCAATCACCTACCTGTAGTGGTCAGAGCAGCAAGTACTATTCATAAACCCTTATTACAGAGAAAGGTTCAGTTATGTAGCCAAGGTCAGATAACTAGGACATGGCAGAGCCTAAAATACACCTAAGTAGTTTGATTCCACGGGGCCATGCCTGTTTTATCATAGTCCCACTGGGTAATTAAAAAAGTTGAGAATGTAGGGCAAAAATTACTTATTTATAATTTATCCATGTATTTTTCATGACCAATAGAAAAAAAACAAAAACAAAAACTCTTTTGTTTTGTTGACCCAGAAAAGGTAACTATTCCATGAATACCCAAACTGAGCTATCTGATTTGTAACTATAACAAGATTGTGACACATTAAAAGAAAATATGAAGTTAATGATGCCAACAGCAAAGTGAGAAGAATAAGGAGTGATTAACAATGGAGTGAATATATAAGGCCTGAATCTCACTACTTATTAAAAACAAAAACTTCAACAATCAGAAACAGAAACAAAATTCTCAATGGTATAATTACGAAGAAGTTCCATATATGTGATGCTCTAAAATGTACCTCTAAATACCTCAATGATATGAAGAAAATATGACATCTTTAATGTTTCCCAAATTATTTTTATTATGATCAGAAATCAATAGCTTTGGTATAGAAGATATTTATTTTTTTATATTTTTATATGCTAGATATGATAAATTAGGTGTGTAATATAAATAAGCTGCTCTTTATTGGAATTAATGGTAACTTAAAATATTAAGGATATTTATTTTTCTTCTTGATGAGTTGCAGATAAAGATAAACAATTTTTAAAGTCACAAATTATAAATTTTAGCTGATTTGAATCCTATATAAAATATTTTCATTGATTTCAGAGAGGAAGGGAAAGAGAGAGAGAGAAATATTAATGAGAGAGAATCATTAATCAGATGCCTCCTGCAAGCCCCCTACTGGGGATCAAGCCAACAACCTGGCTATGTACCCTGACCAGGAATCCTACCTAATAAAAGAGTAGTGTGCAAATTAACCATCACTCTGCTACAGCCACAAGCCAAACCCACCAGCACACCCCAGCCAATCAGAGTGAGTATGCAAATAAACCCAACCAAGATGGCTATAGCCACAGAGAACAGGAGGGAGGCTTGGGTTTCCCAGGCAATGGAAAAAGCCAAGATTTCTGCCTTCTCTAGTCAGCCTAGGCCTCCACTCAAAGCTACACAGTTTCAATTATAGAAGGTACACAAACAGAAATGGCAGCAGCCAGAGTGAGCAGAGGTCTTGGCTCAGCTCCAGGCTACAAAGTTCCAATTGTAGAAGGTAAATAAATTCCAGATACCAGGGCCTCTACTAGGGTCATGGCAGGGAGGGCATGGCTGGCCTGCAAACCACCACAGGCCCCTCTCTCAGGCTGCCCCACGCCCCAAGGGAACCCCCACTCTGATCCAAGACATCCTTTAGGGCATACCAACTGGCCCCCACCGGTGCACCAGGCCTCTATCCTATCTAATAACAGAGTAATATACAAATTGACCATCAACCCAACACACAATAGCTGTCCCCATGTGGTCAAAGATGGCTGCCCCCATTTTGACACAAAGATGGCCACCACAAGATGGCTAGCAGGGGAGGGCAGTTGAGAGGCACCATGCCTGCAAGAGAGGGCAGTTCAGAGGGACCAGGCCTGTAAGGAAGGGCAGTTGGAGGCGATCAACCCTGCAGGAGAGGGTAGTTAGGGGTGACCAGGCTGGCAGAGGAGGGAAGTTGGGGGCAATCAGGCTGGCAGGGAGCAGTTAGACATCAATCAGGCTGGTATGGGAGTGGTTAGGGGATGATCAGTCTGGCAGGCAGAAGCAATCAGAGGCAATCAGGAAGGCAGACAAGAGAGCAGTTGGGAGCCAGCAGTCCTGGATTGTGAGAGGGATATCTGACTGTCCTTTTAGGTCGGATCCCATTGGGATCGGGTCTAAATGGGCAGATGGTCATCACTTGATGGGTCAATAATTGGTGAGAGTGCAGGCTGGGCTGAGGGGCATTCCCCTCCCATGCATGAATTTTGTGCACCAGGCCTCTAGTGGAATCATGACCTCCTGCTTCATAGATTGACACTCAATAACTTAGCCACACCAGCAGGGCTTGAATCCTATTTTATACTTACAGATGCAAATATTAATGTTTTCTCATATGAATAAGACAAACATGTAAATGGTTTTTATTTGGGAAGCAAAGAAGACACTTGGAAGTATTGTGGGAAATGAGCCAAGGAAGCAAAGTCAGTCAAAAGCATATTTGCTATCAAGATTATTGTGGTTCATGTTGCCCAATAACAACTGCTTTAATGTGGTCCAAAGTACTAATTATAAATTTCAAAAATCCCCACCACAAACTATTGCACTATTCTATAAACTTCTATAATGTCATACTGACATTCAGAAACACTCAAAACTAGCATTGAAAAAATGGAAGGTAACACATTGAGATAAAAAATTGTAAAATGCTGTTGATCATTATTTATTCAATATAAACTATGAATTAAAATTGTGTATAGGTTTGTAAGTAATAGATTGTACATGAAAAAGTCCACTTCAAAGAAGTAAGACTAATTCATCATTTTCTGGTAACAGGTAAATGCAGCTGAAGTTCCATATAATTCAGTCTTTACTGAATTACTATCTGTCCAAAAAGAAATTGTTGATTTACATAACACCTTCAGGAGAGAGGTGGATCCACCAGCTTCGAACATGCTGAAAATGGTAAGATTCATTAAAAAGTAACAGAAATGATGAAAATAATAGCAATGGTGCTTCCTGAGTTTTTATTTAATTCTATTTGCTTTTAATATACCGTATTTTCCGGCATATAAGACGACCCCCTAATTTTACAGTTAAAACATAGGTTTAGGCCTATATTCGCTGTATAAGACTACCCCCCACTTCCCAGACAACACCAGTTCTTTTTTTAATAGACCGCCTCTCTGACTTTGGCCAATCTGAGGAGGCTTTTTACTAGAATACAGTTTAGCTTCGGGTACAGAACATGTATAATTTGCATGCATAAAAGGCCTGCTTGGATTGGCTGAGTTAGAGAGTCAGTCCGAGCAGCCTTGCAGTGATTGGTGCATGATGAGTTGGAAAATTCATTTAGCGGCATATCGAGACTTTTTTTCAGGATATACTCGGCGTATAAGACTACCCCTGATTTTCGGTTGATATTTTTTGTTTGTTTCAAAAGTCGTCTTAGACGCCGGAAAATACAGTACTAAAAATCGGGTCTTCACAAGCAAACCTATGGCCTAGCAGAAGAAAGAGATGCCCAGAGAAGGTAAGTAAATTTCCCCAAATCCTGCAGTTAGTAAATAACAGAGCAATAATTCCAATTCAAACTGCCTGACTTTATTCACACTGTGCCCAAGGACAGTGCTTCTCAAACTCGAATGTGCTTAAGGATTGCCTGAAGAACTCGGTACAGACAGGGCCCTGGGCCCTGCTCTCTGAGACCTTGATTTAGGAGGTCTGGGGTGGAGACCAGACCAAGTTCCCAGCTGATGCTGATGCTGCCACTCAGTGTTGTCAGTATTGTAACCTTTGCTTACAAGTTACTGAGGTCTTTTAAAGCTGTCATCAATGATAAGACACTCGTCTGAGAATAAAGATGTCCAGATTCTAAGCCAGGTGGTGCTGTCAGGTAAACAAATACTGACAAATCTGTTGTCCAGCTCTTTTGCATTTCATGAAAGGAGAGAGAATTGTCTTTCCACTAGAAATCAAAAGCTATCATAGGCATTGTTATACTTTGAGTGCTGCAACTGACATGCATCTTGTGCTTGCTTACCACTGACAGGCACTCTTCCAGAACCCATTATATTGATTCACTGAATTCAATCATTCTGCAGTTAGATACTATCATTTCCACTTTGCAAATGATTAATTTTAATCTCAAGAAATGAAGTAGCTTCTCCAGTCATAAATACTGCATCAGTACAGTGTCAACTATAAATGGCCAGCTCCAGGCACCTGCTCTTTTTACTTTTTAAAAAATATATATTTTATTGATTTTTTTTTACAGAGAGAAAGGGAGAGGGATAAAGAGTTAGAAGCATCAATGAGCTGCCTCCTGCACACCCCCTACTTGGGTTTGTGCCTGCAACCAAGGTATATGCCCTGACCGGAATCAAACCTGGGACCTTTCAGTCCGCAGGCCAATGCTCTATCCATTGAGCCAAACCGGTTTTGCCCAGGCACCTGCTCTTATTTAAATACTTCCCTTAGAATGAATATGGTCCAAACTCCTTGGTTTCCAGATGAGCAAGTAAGTGTAGTGAGGAGGTGCTAAAGAAGTGATATAGTAAATAGAAAATAATATAGCCAATGCTATATTTTATTATATAAGATTAAAGGTCTCTATAATGAAAACAGACTATAAGAATGACTATATTCTAGTGCTAAACTGTAAAGTTGTGAGACAGCAACAAGATGACCAATTAGACACACCAGTAAAGCTGCGTAACATTTTACGAGGAATATGGGAATTGAGCTGTTTCATAAACAATTCACAGGACCTGGATAGAAAGAAAGGGATCGAATTACAGATAGGATGGCTGAAGTACCCATCTCCACTGACAGCCAGGGATTAAAAAAAAAAAAAAGAGTTTCTGTATAGTGGGTAAGGACCTGATTAAACAGAACCACTTGTCAAAACCAGAATTCATGACTTTGGTACAATAACCATAAACATCCACTTGCTAATTTAATCATGTATGTCCTAGTATCACAAAAACAGAGAATCTTATCGGCATAATGTCCTATAGAGCATCCTCAAAGAGGTCTGAACAACAGAGTCTGTTAATGGATGCTGCCCTTAATTTACACAACAAAATAAGCTGACTCTAAAATGGAAATTAGCATGCAGGATATTTACTGGGGAGCAATGTCCAGATTTATACTTACCTATGGAGGGAGAAAAAGAAGCATCCTTGGGCATTCAGAGAAATGCAATTGTGACACAGTCCCAGCAGAGGCTGTAGCTAATCCCATGGGAAACTATACAACCAGGACAAGCCTTCTGAGCTGTCCTGAGTTGGAGGGAAGCATCTTAGAAGTTACAGTTGTCATGTATGCTGGTTGTTGGATATGGGCTATCCCGGGAGGGCATTATGCTCATGGGTAAGCACAACTTTAGGGAGCACAGATGATAGTAGAGTTGTCTGTGGGCAGGACTCTCAGCTTAAGAGGAAATAAGTGCTTCAGTTCAGATGGGGACTCAGGTAGTGCATCACAGTATGTATGACAAGCAACCTGTGAGTAAAAATGAGACAATCACATACAGAATTGGGTACATACCCTGGCATGTAGTATTAGCTATAATCTTTGTTATACACAATTTTATAGGAAATACATGACACTATACTTGCTTTTAATCACAGCCAACATTTATTTATTGAGCATATAACATAAGATTGATACATAACATACATCACAATTGTATTGCATCAATTATCATATTAAAGTTTTTGAACAAACCATTGGGTATTAAGTATGGATTACATTTTATAGAGGAAGAAACTGAGATTACAAGAGACTAAATGACATATACTAATAAGTGATGGGAAGGATTGCTAACCCTGGTATGTTTTCCAGGAATTATTTACTTAACCTCTTAATACTTCAGAGAAAGAAGCTACATTTGAAATGTATTACCAAATTTTGATTTTGAAATCCTAAAGGCTTAAAGAATGAGTTGAAAGTTTTGTTTCTCTTTCAACTAGACCATTTAAACAGTATAATTATTTAAATTATCTTCAATTATTTAAATTGAGTATATTTCTGGCATTGGATTCTTACTCACAATAAATTGGAATCTTATTATGGAAATGTTAAGTTCATGTGTTCGTATTTGACTCTGTTGCTGTAGAGTTGGGAAGAGGAAGCTGCAAAAAATGCCAGAAAATTGTCAAAGTATTGTGAGGTGGGGCAGAGCAACGCACTGAAGAGGAGAATTACAAGTAGGTGTATGTCTGTGACTCACCTTTGTGTTCACAAATCCTCATGGAATGCCAAGCCACCTGGAAAGATCGTTTAAGTCATGCCATTTGTGTTTACATTTGTCCCATAAATGACAGTGAGTTGTGGCCCAGTGCTTATAATAATACTATTTCATTATGATTAATTGTTTAATTTGGATTTTCAATTTTTCAAATATCAGATTCTACTTATCAGAAGGAGAGAATCAAAGCTCTCAGTGTTACAGAATAGTTGATTAATACAATGATGACTCTATGGACAGCTGGATAGCTAGAAGGTGTCCACACTATGCAGTTCTTTCAGCTACCCACAATATTACAATACCTAAGCTTTGGAGCACTAGTATAGTTCAGAAGTTATATTCTTCTCTCCGGAGCTTCCCAGAAGAATAATTGTAGGTACTCAAACATGAATCTATCTCATTGAGTATTTAGGAGGTGAGTCACTGTTAGTTTCTAGGAAAGCCAAAGCAGAGATTAATAATATTTATGAGATATTTGATTATCACAAAATTTTAAAAATACTAATGAAACCTCCATTTTTGTAAGTTATTGGTCGTATTTGCCTAATATTGTTGAGCAGTGAATTAGCAATGCGAGTCTTCCCTTCCCCCAGAGAAGTGGAGATCCCTCTAGAATGCCTTATTTTATTAGAACTCACCTCAGAAATGGAATAGCTAACTGAGTAAGTACTTATTTCAAGGACCTTACATGATAAATATTTTTGTGTGGATCCTCTCAAACCATAGGACCTGCTATAACTCATAGTCTGCTCTGACTGATTTCACCCTTCTTATCAGCTTGGAGCTGACAAAGACTGGAACATTGATTGGTTTGATTTCTCAGCTTTGCATGTCATCTCCTGCTGTAAATGTTTCACCAGACCTGAGCACCAGAAGTGTACTCATCTAAGAGAGAGAAGATTGCCAGCAGAGATGCCACTAAGCTCACTTTCTCTTATAAGATATTGCTTGGATAGCCAGCAACCCATTTATAAAATAAAGAAGTCATTCTTGTAAAGTACTTTCAAAATTTTAGAGTATGACCCAACCCGTTTCCCTTCTTTCAGATACTTTTTGTGGAGAAAATACATATTTGACTTCTAGTCTTATCTCATGGACAGATGTGATTACAATCTGGCACAATGAGTCTTATTATTTTCAATATGGTGATTGGCCAGAAAAAGATGAAGAAAAATCAGTTTATCATTACACTCAGGTAACTTGTGAACAGGCAAATGTGCATATTGCTTAAGCGACTATGATGATGTGTGAAAATATGTGAATGTTAACCAAGAGCAATCATTCTACCTACTTTTTTCAAACTTATACTTGACCTACTGAATTCCTCTTATAAGTTTCAACTCAAGGAAATGTGATTCTGTTAATAAAGAACTTAGAGATGATTCTTCCTTCTTTGCATAACTGATTTCCTGGGAAGTAAAACATCAATATTAATATATCAATGTAATGTATAAGTTATATTTGTAAAGAATGAAAATAATTGTAACAATATAGAGAATCCCCTTGTTTCCAGTTGATTTTTATTGTGGTAAAATTATATATATATATATATATATATATATATATATATATATATATATGCCTAATATGCTTAGTGTTCGATCAATCAGTCAACCTTTCAGTGTACCGCTTGATCAATCACTATGAGGAGTACTGACCATTGCGGGGCAGACACTTTGACTGGTAGGTTAGCTTGCTGCTGCTGGCCAGCCAATCAGGACTGGAAAAGATGTGCCAGAGATGCCTGGAGCCAACCTCTGTGGTCCCTCCTTGACCTCTAAAATATTTCTTCTAATTATTTTTTTCTCAATGTGCATAAATTCATGTACCAGGCCTCTAGTTACATCTATATTACTAAAAGTGTCATTTTTAAATTGAGTGCCTTTAATATTCACTGTCATTAACTACATTAAAATTATTTTGCAGCTATCACTCCTATCCATGTCCAGACATTTTATCTTTCCAAACTAAAATTCAGTACCCATCATATAATAACTTCCCATTTCTCCCTCTCCCCTTCCTCTGGAAGCCACCAGTCTACTTTTTTGTCTCTTTAAATTTGACAGGTCTAGATACCTCACTTAGTTACAATCATACAAAACTTGTCTTTTAATGTCTGCCTTATTTCATTTAACTTAACATGCTCAATTCATTCATTTTAGAGCATGTGTTTCAACATATTAAGGCTGAAAAATATTCTCATTATATGTAATACCACCTTGCTGTTTATCCATTCATCCATCAACAGATAATTGGGTTGTTTCTACCTTTTGACTATTGAGAATAATGTGGCTATAAACATTGGTATACAGATATCGCTTCATATCGGTTTTCAGTTATTTTGGGGAATATACCTGGATGTAGAATTGCTGGATCATATGGTAATCCTATTAGTTTCATTAGTTAAGGAACTGAAATACTGTTTTCCACAGCAGCTTTAAATTTTTACATTCCTTACAGCAATGAAATTTTCAAATTGTTCACATCCATACTGTATTGGTTTGCTTAAGCTGCCATAACAAGACATTGCAGGCTGGGTGGGTTAAACAACACAAAATTATTATCTCACATTCCTGGAAGCTTTAAGTTTCTGAACATCTGGAGTATAGTCAGTTTCTGTGAGAGCTCTCTTCTCACTAGATGCCACATGGTCTTTCTTCTGTGCATACCTGGAGAGAGGTGGGGGGGGGGGGGGGGGAAGGAGCTCTCTGGTGCCTTTTATTAGAAGGACACTAATCCTATAAAATAAAAGATCAATATGAAAACTGTTCCCTCGGGAGTTTGACCAATCAGGAGTTCTCTCTTTGCTATTATGTGCGCTGACCAGCAGTGGGTGGCATGGAACAAAGCAAAGCCCTGCCTGGAAGCTGGAAGGAAGGCCCCAGCTGATAGACTGAAGTCCCTGATCATCCCTGATTGCAGGCCAGGCCTAGGGACCCCTACCCATGCATGGATTTTACACACCAAGCCTCTAGTCCTATTATATTAATATCATGGCCCCTCCCTTAGGACCCCATTTAACCTAAGTTAATTCCTCAGAGGCTTCTCCAAATAGAGCCATACTTCTGGATTAACACTTTGGAATATGAATATGGAGGAGATGTAACATTCAATACTTAACACACATACTTCTTATCCTATATAATAAAAGGCTAGTATGCAAATCGACCAAACAGCCTAATGACCTGTTGCTTTGATGTGCACTGACCACGGGAGGGCAGATGCTCAATGCAGGATCTGCTCCTAAGTGGTCAGTGCACTCTAACCAGAGAAGGCCTGCCAAGCCAGAAGCCGGCTTAAGGCTGGCAAGCACAGCTGCAGTGGTGGGAGCCTCTCCTCCCTCTGCAGCAATGCTAAGAGTGTATGGGGAGTAAGCCTAAGCCGTCAATGGGACATCCCCTGAGGGCTCTTAGATTGTGAGAAGGCACAGGCTGGGCTGAGGGACTTCCCTGAATGCATGAATTCCATGCACGAGGCCTCTGGTACTTTATGTTGCTTTTTTATTAGTGCTGTGTTTTGTTTGTTATATTTTACAATATATACCGTGTTTCCCCGAAAATAAGACATCCTCCAAAAATAAGACCTACTTACAGGTTTCCTTCTGAGTGAAATATAAGGCATCCCCCCGAAAATAAGACACCCCCCCCCCCCAGGCTAAACATGAGAGATTTGGTCCATTGATTCTGAAAGAAATGGAGTCACAAGGAATTCACCAGGAAATTCAGGAATTGGATTATTATGATGATGTTCCAGAAGATGATGATATGATTATCATTGAATAAATGAGTAAATTCTTGATACTGTAGGATTCACAGTTTGTCTGGTTTGTGTTGACAATACGATATTATCTTACCGTATACAGGTAATACATTTCCTTTATTTTCATTTAACAATAAATGTGTACCATATTCTTCTTCATGGAAAAATAAGAGATCCCCTGAAAATAAGACCTAGTGCATCTTTGGGAGCAAAAATTAATATAAGACACTGTCTTATTTTCGGGGAAACAGGGTAGTAGGTCTGAAGTGGTATTTCACTGTGGCATTGTTGTGCATTTTGCTAAAGATTGGAGATGTTAAGTACCTTTTCATTTGTTTGCCAGATATCTGTATATCTTCTTTGAAGGAATGTCTACTCAAATCCTTTGCTTTTTAATCAAGGATTTTTTGTTGTCTGTTTGTTGTTTAATTGTAAATACTTACTCCTTATCAAGTTTATATTTTTCAAATATAAATTTCTATTGCATGAATTGCATTTTTCTCTGATGATGGTGTCCTATTTATGTTCCAAATTTTTATAAAGTCCAATTTATCTCTTTTTTTTTTCTTGATTGTGCTTTAATGCAATATCAAGAAATGATTGCCAAATTCTATTTCATGAAGTTTTTCCTTTTTGTTACTTTCTAAGGGATTTATATTTCCCCCTTTCATATATAGTCTAGTGATCCATTCTGAGTTATTGTTTTATGTGGTGTAAGGTAGAGTTGAACTTTTTTGCTTCCATGTGGATATTTGTTGCCCCAATATTATTTGTGGTAAGCCTTTTATTTCCCCACTGAGTGGTCTTGACACCCTCATTGGAAATCATTTAACTATACATGTGAGGGTTTATTTCTGGGGTCTCTATTCTATTTCATAGGGCTATATGTCTACCATTATGCCAGAACCACAATTTTATTACTGTAGCTTTTACTAAGTTTGGGAATTCAAAAGTATATGACCTTCAACTTTCTTCTGCTTTAGGATGAATTTTTTTTTTCTTTTGTGGAAAGAAAATGCATTGGGACTTTGAGAGAGAATGCATTCAATCTGTAGAATGCTTAGAGTAATATTATTATGTTAAAAATATGAAGTCCTCCAGCCCATGAATATTGGGTATTTTTTTTTTTTATCATTTGAGTCTTCTTTTATATCTACAGCTATGTTTTCTAATTCTCAGTGCACAAATCTTTTACCAATTTAGGGTTATTTATACTGGGATGGACAAAAGTAGGTTTATAATTGTAAGTATGCAAAACACAGTTTATTTTGCTGTTATTCTTTTGCTCATGGTAGCATTCTTTATTATGGTTATATACTTTCTTTTGCTCATCCCTGTAAGTATTGTATTTTTTGCTGCTATTTTAAATAAAATTATTATCTTAATTTTTTTAAAAATTACTTACTGCAAGTTTATGAAAACACAATTGATTTTTTTTGTGTGTGTGGCATTGTCAGGGTTTCCTACATATAAAATTTGTCACCTGTAAACAGATAATTTTACTCTTTCTTTCCTAATTGGATTTTTTTTCCTTGTCTTTTTGCTCTGACTAGAATTTCCAGCACCATATTTCATAGCAGTTGCAAAAGTCAGCACTGTTTTTGTTTTTTTGTTTTTGTGGCTGATCTTAGAGGAATAATTCCACCTTTCCCATTGATTCTGATGTTAGCAGAGATTTTACCTATGTGGCTTTTACTATGTTATAATAGTTTTTCCTTACTAGTTTGTTGAACACTTTTTAAAAAAATATTTTATTGATTTTATAGAAAGGAAGGGAGAGAGATAGAGAGTTAGAAACATCAATGAGAGAGAAACATGGATCAGCTGCCTCCTGCATACCCCCACTGGGGATGTGCCTGCACCCAAGATACATGCCCTTGATTAGAATCAAACCTGGGACCTTTCAGTCTACAGTCTGACGTTCTATCCACTGAGCCAAACTGATTTCAGCTGTTGAACATTTTTTTATCATGAGAAGATGTTGAATTTTATAAAATGCTTGTTTCAATTGATGTAACCATGTGTCTTTTTCTCATCATTGTATTCATGTTGTAGTCTACATTGACTTATTTTGATGTGTGAAACCATCCTTATTTTGGAGGAATAAATCCTACTTTGTCACAATGTATAATTCTTTTTTTGTAATATGCAAAATAAATCTAATATTAGATTGTAGATTCAGAATAATTAGCCTTTTATATCCAATAAACATTACTATTTCAAGAAAAATATATTTTAAACATAATAGTGTTACTTTTAGTATGATTCTGACTTTAATTTGTTGAGGATATTGGGTTCATATGTGATATTGGGTTGTAACTTACTTTCTTCTTTAAATTGACTTGAGAGAGAGATGGGGAAAGGGAGAGAAAGAGAGAGAAATGTTAATGTGAAAAAGAAACATTGATCAGTTGACTCCAGTGTGCACCCTGACCA